ATGACTGTTGATATATATTCTTAGAGATAACTAATTGTCATCATTATAATCAGCAGAATACTTGATTATCTGTATCGTAAAGAATTGTAACAATATAACAATTTATGAGAGGAAAAAAAAGTTCACCTTATACATTCATCTTAATCCAAATACAACCTCCTTTTAATTGTGTTATTAAGTTAACCTACTCTCTCTTTTTTTTTCTTATTCTTCTTCCTTGAGCTCCTTAAATTGTGTTAATTAACTAATCAACATTTAATTGTATTATACTAAAAGTGGTTGCATAAGGTTTCATAAATCACCTCGAAAAAGTTTATCCAAATGTTGAGCATAATATTATCATTCACCAAACTCCCTTGTCTTTAAACATTTTACCTGAGAATTTGCAATGGAAACAGAAAAACTCAATTCATTACAAGTTAATTAACTTTTTTTTTCTTGTCTTACAATAACCTAAAAGACAATTAACAGAAAACAAATTAACAAATCCAATTAAACTTTTTCTAAGCTAATTTATATGTCTCAATTAAATGGATTCATTAAAATTTACAACAATCAATTTGTACAACTTTTTATAACAATTAGTAAATCTGATTAACTATTAATGATGTTACTGTTTTGTTTTTTGGTTTTCTTTTTCATTGACGATAATGATTGAATGGGAAACAATTAGTGTTAACAATTAGTCTTTAACTAATTGCAACTGGTACGTAAAATGAGATTTAAATTGTTTCACAAAATGGTCACAATTAGATTGGCAAGTAAATTGTTTCTATTGGAAAAATAATTAATTGTAAGGCATCAAGTCAATGAAACAGGAAAGAGATGGTCAATTAATGAATAAAATTTTCACCTTCATGATAATATTATCGTAAGTGAGAATAGTATAATAATTAACTTGATCGATAGTAATTTATTTTAATTATTAATTGATTGATGGTTAAATGAACAATTGGAATGAATAGTTTTACGATTAGATTGTAAAAAAAAATTCAATTCAATTGTGATATAATATTCATGGAGAGTAAATATCATTGGTGAACTTTTTAAATTACTAATAAAAGTTAATTACTTTTATTTTGTACCTTTAATCAACTGGTCATCAAATGGTGATTAGATTTAGATTAGATTAGTTATTATTGGTTTAATTGGATCAACTGATCAGAAAACTTGTCAAATTTAAAGCGTAAATTGTCAATTGAATATAATGGATCACATGAGATTCATTAATATCAAATTGTCCTGAAGAAATTGAACCAATTTAATGCTCAGAGAAAAGTTCATGTAATTAGATTATCATGATGATGATGATCCAATTGAGATTTACTGTTTAACCCATTTCGCTAATTTTTTTTCCAGTTCCATGTAAAACTTCAGGAACATTAAAAAAAAGTAACAGGTGAATCATGACAGTTTGTAACTCGGAAATTCATTCATGTATTTATCTCATTCTGTTTTTGGATCTAGGATTCTGAATTATATTCACATAATTTTATTCATAACTCAGTAATTACAGGTTAACAATCAAAATTAATGACACCAGGATAATGGTTAAGCAATTTAATCAAGATATCAATAAATTTACCTTTAATGGCCTGAAGGATAAACTATCAATATGTATTAATATCTATGAAAGGTAAAGATGGAAAATAAATCACAACAATCACAATTAAAACCATCGAGTATCAATTGTGATTATTGAACAAATTTTGATAGATTCACATGATAACTGGAATCGAAAGGTGGAAAAGAGTAGGTAAGTCCCTTAAGGTAAGATTTGCATCGTAAAGATAAGATGGTTATCATGGTGATGTTTTAATTCAGTGAATTCATCATGATATAAAATCCTAGGTAAATGTGATCATATCTTTTGGGAATAATTACAAATAACACTGATGATAATCAACTAAGGTTAGAAGGACAACTTAATAGTGAAAGAAGGTGACAGTAAACTAAGATCAACCTTGACAAGATTAATTCTTGAGTTTCATCATGAATTCAGAATTCCAGGTCTGAAATTTTTTCTCTCTCTTACAAACTAAGACAGTTAACTTCAAAGTAAATACTCAATGGTGAATTCGTTCCTCTCTCTCTTAATCACTATCTTGTTCTTGTAGATCAAGTAAATGTAAGATCAGATAATTAAACTATCAACAGGCAACAATAACAAAAGTTTCATTGATTAACTTCTCAGATAGAAAATCAATTTATCCCGATATGATAATCATGAAAAGGTGAAAAGTTTCCTGTTCAGTTCAACATTAACTAAAGTAATAGAATATAAGTTTATCGTGTGAACTCTGAATTTTGTGATGAGTTGAATTTTTTTTTCTTCCAAAATTAAATTATTATTATAAAGAAAAGTTTACCCGATGAAAAGGAGTAATTTCATTATAAGAGATTCAAAGGAAAGATGAATATATGTATTATGTTATTAAATGATGATAGTGATGAATGGAAAATGTTAACATTCAATTGGATATTATTACATGGGGGAGAAGAAGGAAACATGGAAAAAGAGAGCGAGGAAACTGAATCATTTCGAAAGAATTGAAAAGTAATTATTATTGGAAGGAAAAGAAATGATGACGTTCAGATGGATATGATGATAGAACAGATGAATTTATTCCCATGATTTCAGCAGAAAAAAAGTGTTCCATAAATTTCTGTACTTTTCTCAATTCTGTAGAGTTTTTTTTCTCTATTCCTTTTCCTACCTTCATGGATACTCTTCAATTATTTTGCATTATCTTTCTTTATGCCTACTAATCAATCAATATAATCATATATTTACAATCATGTACACATAACATTTCCTTTGGCATGCAAAAAAGTGGATATGCTGTTCTAATGCAACTCTCATGGTTCCAATTGAATTCAGTGTAAGTTCATGGGGCATGAGAGGTGGAAACAGGAAAAAAGTTACTGGAAACATAATGAGAAATGATTGAATAACAGGAGAGAGAACGAAAGAGTGAGTGAGTGAGTGAGTGAGAGAGAGAGAGAGAGAGAGAGAGAGAGAGAGAGAGAGAGAGAGAGAGAGAGAGAGAGAGAGAGAGATTGCAATGAGAAAAATATCGAAACTATTAATAACCGATAACCTTATCTGATCACAATGGTGATTAGAAAAAAAAGATGAATCAATGATAAACAGCATGGGAGAAAATCAGAATTACATTCAATTGTAATGCTGGTAAACAATGTTTCTCATAAACAGAACTTTTTTTGCTATGAATTGCATTTTTCACTCTCTCTCTCTCTTTCACTCTTTTATTGGGCTCAAATTAAATTGCAATTGTACATTGATTGTTTTTTGCAGGGTTAGTTCAAATAAATTTAGTCTGTTCGGAAAATATTATTACTAATATAAATTAGATTTTTTTCCTTTCCCTTTGTTCCAAATTCAATAAGATAATTGCTTCAATTTAGATTCTGATAACCTGACAAAGTGATTTAATCTCAGTTATTTCTGTTACTATTTCATCTTGTTCATTTACATATTAATAGGACTTATCGTGAAAGTTTTTGTTTCTTATCGGTTGATTCCTTCTGATTGTAAGGAATAACAATTTCTGTGGTCAGTTATTGATGAGAGTATTGAATGTTGGGATCATCAATGGGTCATCACACCATCAACTTCATGATGGAAATAATACTTTTTGATCCAGGATCTCTTTTAGATTCTTAATCAACAGTCCACAAAATGACACATTAATCATCTGGCTCACCATCAACAATGAAAGTTCATGTCAAGATAATCATCCAGTAAGTCTTGATTGTCTTCAAAAAAGCTACTATCTAAATCTAAATCAAATGCTCAATGAAAAAATGAAAATTGGCAATGGAAAATATTAAAATATCGATCAAAAAAAATAATGATCCAACTTTCATCAGATTATCATGTAAATTAGGATGAAAAAACAATTTGAATCAAGTTATAATTTCTCAGGGTGAATATTGTTTTCACCTTTTGATAAACTCGAGACTCAACAAAGTTGGATCAATCTCTTTGAGTTCTCTTAATTAAAGTTCAGACAAAATGAATCAACTAAGCTGATCAACATGAATTTGCAACAATTGATTCAAGTGTAAGTCAATGAAAATCAATCTAATTACAATCGAATCAAATCTCTTGTTATATAAAGTAGAGACAAATGAAGATTTATCATTTGGTATCATTATTAGAAGATCAATTTGAGTGTTGATTGTTATATAAAGAAGATGAGAATGAAAAAGAAATGAAGACAAATTGTTTTATTCTTCCTATTGGAAGGAAACACTTGAAGATAATAATGAAAAAGCATGAAGAAAAAAGATTCCATGATAATAATCGTGTATATTGATTGTTGACAGATGAAATTGAAATTAATTTGATAAAATGGAAAATCAGAAAAAAATTGAAACAACGATAATTTGATATATACTTTTTGTATAATATAATAACCATGAGAAAGATGATCATGAACATACTTCATCTCTATCAAATTATTCAAACGATTGGAGGAATTTTTTTTCCTTTTATATATTAATATAAATTACAGGGTGTGGCAAATGAATCAACCTGTGTATCAACATATTATATATCTACACCTCTAGCTCATTAACCTGTTTCTATCATGAAACATTTCATCAACTTCCCTGTTCAGTTCAATATAAACCTCACGCCCCAAGTTTTCAATATTGGTGATAACATTTGTTACATTAAGCTAATGATGATAATATTAATTGCAAGAGATATTAATTACAGATATGACAAGCTCACTATGTATGTGTGTGTGAGAGAGAGAGAGGAGTGAGATTAATGCTAATGATAAAAGTCTTTCAATGGGAGATGATGAAAGGAATTAGCATTTTCATTAAGGGTTTTCTTACTATTATCAGCATTATTAATAATACAAGAGCATCAGATTGATTTGGTTTAATAAGTGGTAATCATTATGATCATCATTATCATCATTCCGTAAGTTAATTAATTAGATCATAAGGAAATGTTAACTTACTTGAGTATAAAGTGATACGTTTGGTTGATGAATAGAGAGTATTGTTAATTGTTACTTGACATTCAAATATTGTTGGTGTCCGACTTAAGGCTGTTGCCAGAAGCTCTTGTTCAGTTAATATATATTCAATAGACACATCATAGTAATTTGATGATGACGGTGATGATGAAATTGGTGAGCTGATTGATTTGTTTACATTAACTAGATGGATTAGTGTTGGTGTTACAACCATATTATTGGCACTTTTGGTGGTGATCAATTTGTATAAATTAACTTGGGGCAACGGATAAACTTGAAGAGTTATACATTTAAGATGGAGATTACCAGTAACAGGATCAACTCGAGAAGTGAATTTAAATGATTGAGGAGATGCTGTATTGAGATCAAAGTATTTTGGTGGACATTATGTTGATAATAAAGAGCAAAAATCACAAATAAAAAAGAGCAAAAGAAAATAGTAAATTATTATTGGAACTAGTTCATTAATAACATCAGTGTCATTGAAAGTCTCGCATTTAGTAATGATCAACAATCATACTCTTTCAGAGAGAGAGAGAGAGAGAGAGAGAAGGTGACTTCAAGAAATAAGGAAGAGTGAGAGAGAGATAGAGTGAGAGTGAGAGAGGTTTTTCTGGTGTTAATAGTGTTACATGAAAGATCTCATCATTTGGGTGGTACTGATAAAAAACCCAAGTAAGTTGTATGAGATAAGTTGACAAGAATTGTTATTATCAAGTGTTGACGTTAATAGACTTCAGGTAACAAGGTAAAAGTGAATTGATTGAAGTGATGATGATTAGAATGATTGGTAAAGAAGGTGAAACAAGAAACATTTATGCTCAATTGTTGATACAAATTGAAGATGTTAAATGGTCATTATCATTCTCCTCATATCAATCTCTTTTTTTTTTGTTAATTTCTTTCCTTTTTCCTATTCTTATCACTTTAAGACATTTACATCCACCATGATTAGCACAAATCATTATCAAGATTATGGAGACACACAAACTATTTATCTTTACCAATCACTTAAAGTGTATACATAATATTAGATGATTAATCGGAAAAATTATCTATTTAAAACTCATCAACTGACCAGGTCACCTTGTAAAGATTGTGCATTTTAAATGATTATTGTAATCAAATTGTGATTGTGATCAATTCAATTTTCCATGTAATCATAATCATTTTTGGCTCTTCGATTGATGTAACTTTTTATTACGTTGATTGTTTTCTTCTTCTTCTTTTTCTCATCATCATCATTATTATCATCACCATAATCTGATGTTGATCATTTCAACTCACGCCATTTAACAATGATCTGTGTATGTTATTATAATAATTATTTGATGATTGAGATAATTGGGTTAGCTGTTGTTGTAATATTATTATTTGTTATTTCATCATCAATATAATTGATTGATTTACTGTCTAAACAATTTCTTCTTCTTCTTCATCACTATCCGTATCTTCGTCTTCATCTTGCTTTTGTTGTTACTCTTTTGTTGTTGTTGTTGTTGTTGTTGCTATACACTCACTTTCATCTTATTTTTCGCATCTCGAATTGACTCTTTATTATCAAGACAATAAGAGATTCTGTCTATTCTCATGTGAATATCAATGTCAGTTACACACTAAATCACAGGGCTTTTTTTTTATTTTCCTCTTCTTTTTTTTGCGAATCCAGAGGTGGATTCTTTTCACCTCCCACTATTGCTATTCAATCCTTTTCTTGTGAAATTTTCGTGGCGAAGTCTTTATTACTTTCCCAATTCTTTCTTATTTTTGCCTCTATTTCTTTTATTCGTATCAACGGATAACTTTATGAGAAGAAATCGAACGATCGAAAAAAAAATCCTTCTAATCGAACTAAGTTTTCTTTATCCTTCGTCTGCATGGTTTGTACAAATTTCACCTTTCAACTCAATCAATGATAATCTTTTGTTGACAAGACGATCGTGAATATGATTATAAGTTAGTATTCATGTGGAAAGTTTATCAAAAGTAAATACATGTACAAGTAGTTGCAGATATTTATGTCTCATAAACTAAATCGTTGCCTTGTAAATATAAAAATTAGACAAAAAGGCAACAAATAATTTTTCACACGAGGAAGTGGTTGATATTCAGTAAAAAATGTTCGACAAGATCTATTTTCAGTATTTCTCTCTCGAAAAATTATCTTGAATAACACTAAGACTTTGACTTTGGGTCTACTATACTTACCATAAATAAAAACGTTGCCTTCCCTAGAATCGGAATTAGCTAGAGATGATATTCTGCATTTATATTTACCGGACATTGATGGCACTGGATCGTGAAGAACTATCGAACGATACATTGTATATGGGTCTGAGGCATCTGAAACGTGCAACATATCAAATGAACTTTTATAATCCTCCGCTATATGGCGAACTCTCCTATCAGGTATCCATTGGTATATTGGATCAGGCCGATCAGTTGTACCTTGATGAAACCAACGTACAACTAAATACAAATCATTCTCATTATAATTATAATCACAGTCTAAGATTAACGTTGAATTTACAGTTCGAAGGTCAAATGTTGATGGTATGTTAAACTGTTTGATTTTAACAGAGTTCATACCGGTGGTGATCCAATTGGACAATAAAGTGACTAATAAACTGAAGATAATTACGGGATTACGTTTACTTGAAGTGATAATAATATTCATAGTGATGGGCTTGATGTATTGATTATCAGTTTTTATTCCGCAAAATAACAATATCGTCCATGAATCAGTATTGTTATTACTATCATTTTTATTGAATCTGTGATCTCATCATCATGAGATACATTATAACCTGTTCACGATGGAAATTATTTATTATTAACAGCATGAAACAATGTTCATGAAAACTATTTGATAAACTAACATGAGATCAGCCAACACAAATCAAAATGAATCTGAGACTATGCTCACTCCAATTCTGCTATTCAGAAATTCAGACTCCCAATAAGCAAAAAATAGCAAATGAATGTACTGCCATCTTTTGTCTGAAGTTTTCACTTACTTGCTCTCTCTTCCCATTCCTTTGACATTGTTACAACTTAACATGTAAATACGATCAAGTTCATGGGTTATTCAAAATTATTGATTGTTTCGGCTTATAACCATAATCGCCAAAAGGATAAACTTAGACTGGTATTACAATTGTCACAACCCATTGACAAAGGAAGGCCCGGAGTGCCTAAGACAAACGAATTAAGTAATTTGATTAATTAAGTAGTAGTAAAAGGCAACAAGCAAAGCCTCTTTTACTATTACTACTATTCGAATTTTCTGATTAACCCTTGTTGACCTAATTATTATTAATTTTCGCCTATTAAGTTCCAGGTTTATTAACCAGGAGTAGATCTTAAGCCTTGTCGAAAATTTTTCACCATCTAGACTTCAGTTTCAATCAGTACAGTTGAATTATTCATTGGACAAGTGTTGACATCTATTGAGTTGAAAAGAGATACAGTCAAGAGAAATAATAGTAATCGAGGCTGCTTAGACGTGAACCACTGTTCACGATGACTTGCACTCAATCTCAGGCATTTCATTCATAAAGCCTTATACAGACATCGACTTTGAGTGACATTGACTTATATTCACAATAAAGACAAACAAAACTTGTATTTTTTATCTACCGATCGGTGTCATTAAATCAAATATTGAATGGATGGTTTTCGAGAAATCGCTCTCAAAGTTGGAGATGTTTGGTATGCTCGTCATACATTTTTAATATTAAAACAGTTGGATAACTTTAAATGAAAATTTCTTTTAATTTAGTATAAATTTAATTAAAATACAAAATGATTTAGTCTTTTATTTAAAAAAAATTAACTTTTCGAAGCGAATTTTAATTCTATCCCAATTTTTCAAGTAAGAATATTGATCACAGATTGCGAACTTTTCAAAAACATCACAGATAAATTGGAAAAGCGATAATTCTGATTTCTTGTGAAATGGCTTAGACATAAACTGGTCCAGATTTATCCTCCTCGTTAGGTCCCAATGAGACTATTGGTTGTTTTCTTGTATGGTTATTCTAAGAATTATTAATAGATATAAAAGACGAAGAAAAAAGTTAGTAATTAATATATGAACTAATCTCAATAAGTCTGAATTACATCAATCTCTTTGTAAGGTGAAGACAAAATTGTATTTGAATTTAATGTTGAAGTTTCCATGGTCATCTCAACATCTGATGCTCCATCGGCAATACTTAGACCTCGTTTGGGTAGTTTGGTTTCACTTATTAAACCAACCATCATCCCTGATCCATTGTTGTTCATCATTTCAACATCACCTCCTCCAATATTCATATTTGCAGAACTTTGTTTTGCCATTTCCTGAAAGTTAAGAGCTGTGTAATCGATGGGAGCAGCTCCATTCTGAATACTTTGAATCAACATCCGGTTAACTTGTTGGTCATTTATGGTAGTTGACATTTGAAGATCTGAATACGTTATCTCTTGTGATTGATTCTGAATGCGATGGAAGAAAGAAAAAGTTACAAGTTAAGCGTTGCGAAATTATATTACAAATTTTTCGTATTCCGACATTAGCAAGCTCAACGAATAAGTAAACTCTGATTTAACACCAATATCAATAATGTCATTGATAGCAATCTCTTTTTGTTTCCGATTTTTTACGGAAAATTAAGCTAAATATCTGTCCATATATTACATGTAATAGTTAAGAGCAAGATTTAGACCAAAATTCGAATTCCTTGACCTTTGCAATTTTCAATGTCAATGGATTGATATTACACAAAAATATACACAAAAAGCGACAATAAAATTGACGGCAAGCAAAGCATTGAAGTTCAAAGCAGTTCATGTTGATTATTACTATGAAGCATGAGAAGGGGGTATTGTGCGATTAGTGCATGTACTTATTGTGCATCTCCAAAGTAAATTGAAAACTACGGAAACACATAAGTAGATATCTACTTGGGATGTGAGTATTTGAGTCTTTCTCTAGATAGTTGGTAAAAATGAGGGAGAAAAATCTAATACCTGAAGCTTGTTTAATGTTCATTGACTGAACTGTCTTTTTTTTTCTTTATCATTTTTCATTCTATGTTACAGTCTATGTAACCTAACTCTCAGCTAGATTGAAAAACTAATAATAAACTTATGGTATTTCGTTTAAACCTTTGTTCCGACAAATGTAACTGACCCATTTTGTGACCAAAATTTATATAAATTGTATTCCCTTTCCCTTGTTATGGATTTAATCTTTTTTTTCTCTAACTCTATTGATATTGGTCTCAGTATTTTTCATGTAACTTTTTCATCTGGTTGTTGAGTTTTATAACTTCTTATGATTTTTGGCAGAATGTTCAGTAAATTAAGATAAAGAAAGAAAGAAAGAGATTCTGAGAATATTATTGATATTATATTCTTACATTGTAGCCCATTGTTGGAAGGTAACAATGATATCGTGTTGAGGGACAATTTGAGTCACAGATTCCAGGGCACTCGGTGGTTCCTCTATGCTCCTGATTCAGGCAGATTGTTACTCTATCATATCCACTGCATCCAAAATCAAACCCTAATGGGATCAAAGTATGACCATTGGATAATACGTGGAGATTGGTGGGTGGTGATATCATATGAAGAAAATGTCATTATTTACCCAATCGATTAAATGAAGAGAAGAGAAAGATGATAAAAAAATGAGAAGGAAAAATTTTTTTCTCCATCAGAATTTCATAAATTATTTGTTTTTTTTTCTATGACAACTATTGAGTTGTCAGGTTAATATAACTTTTCATTATTTTATGTTTCAATAAATTCATTTATATATCAATCCAATATTATTTTCCAATAAATAAAAGTCCATCAATATTTTGGTTAAAACATCAACCATTCATCAAGAATCAAAATCAGATACTGAATCATTTTGATTCTATTAATTGATTGATTATATATAAATTATTTACTTACCAGAAATATCATCTTTAGATTTCAATGGATCACCTTGTTTGATATAATCTGATTCAATCTCGTTCGTAGTGGCACCAGAGGTTAAACCATCACATAGAAATGGTTTAGATCTATGGAATAACAACAATGAGAATTAAATTTTATTTTCTATCACCAATAATTGATAAAGTAAAACAGTTAACAACTAATTCAGTCATTTAGAACTTTGAAAATCACCTGCTAGATGGAGCCAAAGGCTTACGAACTTTTCTCAACTTTATAACCAGAACTTCATTTTCATGAAATTTGTTTTTCTCGTTTTTTAAATGTTTTAATCGACTTGTCATTAAAATTAACCTCTGGTAATCGTCTTAAATATTGTCTCTTTAAATTAATCTTAAATCAAATCCAAACTTGACTGGCTCAACTTTAATCCACTGGAGGAGGTTAATCAATGACAATAGTAAACAATTCAATTGACTACACTTGAGAGTTCAATAATTATTGATCAGAATCTACTGATATTATTAACTGGTGCATTTGAATTGCAAAAAATAATCACAATCAAACTTTTAAATTACCTCTCAGCATGAACATATAAAATGCACTTGATAGTAATTTTTATTATTGTTTATCAAGTGTCAACTTTTGATGCACAAAATTAATCAAGTTAATTTCTTATTATAAACGTACAATTCACTAATTAGTCGCAATCTCTCTAGTATGATAACAGCCTTAATTGCTCAAGAGTCGATTGAGATTTTACATTAAACAATTTGTGCAAATGATTTATTACACTGATTGTATGTATTAACTTGCCTCACTAATTTACAACTGTGTAGACTTGAGATTGAACAATTAAAAACAATGCATCTTTATACTGGTACTTTATACATGTAAATTCAATTGTAAAAAGACAAGAACTATTAATAGATAGATAGTAAATATCGCTATTTAATAGTATTAATTAACTTGAATAATAATATTAACAAATTAAAGGTTAAATCAATTACCTTGTGGAAAAGATAACAAAGTAAACTGATTCTTGTGCAATCTAATCATTGGTTATCATTATCATCATCATTAGAAATGACAAAACAGTAGAAGTAGAAAAAAACATGATAAAATATCAGAACAAATGAAAAGGTAAATGAATCAGTTGGAAACTCAGATTACCATGAGAAGTAATGGATTGAATGGAATGAGAATCATCGTTAAATTGTCGACTAATTGATGTTGGAAATGAAAGAGATCTCTAATAATGTTAAACCTTTTAATACAAGAACATTACCATCATTGTGAGGATAAGAGAGAAGAGAAAGAAAAATTCTCATCTCGAAAACTTAATTCGAATGCTTTCCGTTTCTCTTCCTTTCCTTGCTTATTTTCAGTAAAAGATGAGAAAGAAGAAGAACAAGATGATGATGGTGATGATGAGGAAGAGGAAGAGAAGATATCGTTTACCAATTTAACCAAAAAGATTCCAAGTCAACTCGGTAGAATAAACCAATTTTTCTTATTCCTTCTTTTATATTCTTCTCTTATTCTTATTCTTTTTTTTTCAGTTTCTCAATCTTATCTCATCTTTACATCCATTCCTATCTCTCTTACCACTCCCTTGTATTATCAATCCTCCAGCTCCCTGTTTATCCCTTCGCCATGTTATCCCTTCCCAATCTACAAACACTAAAAGCTTCTGTTGTCACATCGATATTTTTATTTACCTTAAATACATCTACAGGTCATTACTTTTCCTCTGATGTCTTTGTTTATCTGTTTGTCTTAATCTTTCCTCCCACTTTTCCTCCCTCTAACTTTCCTCTTCCTCATCTTTTTTCATCTTCAATGTTTATCTTCGTTCTTCGTTTTCCCTCCCTGCCTCTCTCATTCTCTCCATCTTCTGCTTCTTGTCTTCATGATGCCCATCACCATCATCTCCACGATTAAGATCTGATGGACAAAATAAGCTTCTGTCAAAGTTTCTCTCTCTCTCTATTTCCAAGTTAGAAATAAATTTTTTTCTACTTACTCTTTTCTCTTCAAAACTTGAGATGAAACTTTCCAGTTTGAGCTACTTTTCTCTTCTTTTGCACTTGGAATTTTTTTTCTTCGCCTTTTCTTTCAGTTTTTTTCCTCTCACCAACTATTATTTTCTATTTATTTATTTTACTTGTTAGCCTTTGAAATCCATTGTCCAAAAATCACTTGGTTGGTAAGTTATTTGGGAAAATTGAAAAGAACTGGAAACGTTCAGCCTCAGAAACGGAGATTTAACTAGCAAGTTAAAAAAAGAAAATCCCAACTATTCTCTGTCAAGTTTTCTACTTGTTAACGTTAATCATTATTTTTATCAGAATAAAACCAATCGCAAGCAATAAGAATGATCAAAAGTGTGTTGATAAGATCAGACGACAAGATAATTCAATCAATTCTTGGCAAGCGAGCAAATTGATTGTTTGCATGACGAGTTACACTGAGAAAAACGATGTTCACAAAAAAATGGAATCCATGAAAATTCATGGTAGCAATCAAGCTGAATTATTAGTTTATTGGCAACATGAATATTATTTATTGTAACGTAACAATTGCCAATATTTTCAGTAAACACCATGAAGTCTCTTGATAATAGTAACAAAAATTGTAGCTAATGAGCCGATTGATACATTGATTCAATTGAATGTTACCATTAGTGGGTTATGAACAATAAAAACAACATGAGATTCATTTGAAGAAATGAATTGAATTTTCAATTTTAAGTGATTCTAATGAATTTTTCTTGATTTCTTAATCTAGTAGGAAATTGATTCTGTCTTTGTAGACAATGGAAATGTTAAGCAACAATAATCAATAATAAGTGCACACATGGATAAAGTTCTAGAAACTCGATTATTTGATTTGAAAATGATTATCATGATGACTGAGCAGACAAAAGGATAAAAGGTGAAGATCAAGAAAGAGACAGACAGACAGGGAAAAAGAGAGAGAGAGAGAATAACCTGAAAGACTTGGTTATTATGAAGATGATCATTTTTTTATGAAATTCAGTGCAAGGAATGATGTGAGCTCTCCAATAGAAAAGCGAATTAAACTGATAAAAAAGTTCTGATAAAGTATAATGTGAGAATCAACAGAGTTTCAAATAAACTCTTATTGAACCAATAGAGTTAAACTGATATTAGAGATAAAAGTTAAAGATATTGGAAGATATCAGGAAAGTAAGTTTCATTTGGTGATGATGATCATCATCACCATCATGATAGTCATCGATGACTATCATGATGATGTGTTTCAAAAATACAGATGAAGATGATAAAATGGATAGAGAAAAGTGTGAAAGATTCATCACAATGGGAGGTTAAAGATGAAGAAATGAGAGGAGAGGGAAAAAAATTCTTCTCACAGATAAAAGTTGACAATAGTACAAAAGAGATGATATAATATGATAAAAGTTCTAAATGCTAGACATTACATGTTGTAGATGGAAATGGATAAAAAATAGTTATCTCTGAATCATTCATTCGATCAGATATTTCTCAAGGTGGAAAAAAAGAGAAAATTATTTAAGGTCAATATGAGATAATATTCGAAGGTGCTGAGATAATCTACTGAAAGTTCCAATAGCCTCTTATTTCTGCTTCTTTTTTCCTCTTCTCTCGTCAATATTTTTCAAAAGAAAAATACACCAAGCACGTAGATATTATAACTTAGGTATAATAGAATGATGATAAACAAGATGGCAATGATGAAGAAAAAATTGCAGAAAAAGAGATAAATGCTGATGATCGAACATGATGAAAAGAGAGAATAAGAAATATTGAACTTACTTGGGGGTATTTGTCCTCTGCTGTGAATCCATTTCTATTTTCATAAAGATTAAAAGAGAGAGAGAGAGAAAGGAGAAGAATATAAAAAAGAAAACGATTATAACCATGAGATTGAAATAATTTTCATTTCAAATTGAGATCATTAAGTATGAAATCGATAATCTTTCCGTATTGAATTGACACTTGATCGTAATAATAATTTTACTGGTAGATTATATCATTAACACACTTTGACACGTATGTTAGGATAGAACTGAGAGTTTGACATTTTGACTTTATATTATATGAATTTGATTGAAGCAAATTGATAAGAATTCAGATAATATCTGTTGTTATCATCGTTCTCACTTATTTGCTGGTTTATGGTTTTAATCAAAATGATTTAGATTATTATCAATCTCTTTCTTTCTTATCAGATGAGGAAACAGATTGAGAAAAGAGGACAAAAGAGGCTTTACCTTTAGATCCATCATCTCTATCATCTTCATAATAATCTGCTTTCACTCGGATAACGATAACAATTATAATTGCAATCAAAACTAGTGCACCAACTGTACCAATTAAGATTCCCAGCATTGGATTGAAACCAAATTGAGGAATAGCTCCTGGAAGAAAGCGGGAAAGAAATGAGAGAACAAGGAGAAAGATAATGAAGTTACAGAGTTATATTAAAGTTTATGGAGAAAAATTAACTGATCAAATCAAACTGATGATGACAATGATAATATGGGTGATAAGTTAAGTGAATGATGAAAATTATCAGTTTTCAGGAAGTAAAGTTAATCGATGCAATCAAACTTGAATTGAAATCTCACTTCCGAGGTGATTTGCTAATCTATTTCTTAATCGTGACAACCTTCAATAAACTACATATTCTTTCAAGATATGATTATCATGGTTGATTTTTATCATTAAGTCAGCTTAATCAAATAAATATTGGTGATTGAGTTAATCAATTTTCAAGTATCATAAATGTATGATAACTACTTTCAGTTGATGAACAGTTTGAAATGAGATTAATCATATGCAAAGAAATTGATTTTGAAGGAAAGTTTTTTTCCTTCATCAGGTAAGTAAATATTTTTCGTTAATGATGATGATGGTAATTCACTTGATACCCAATGAATGAGATTGATGGTAAAAAAAAGTATGCAGGTCAAGAGTATGAAATTGACCTTTTCACCTATGATCCAATTTAATCTTAAATGCGATTACATTAAATTGTAATAAAAAGCAATAACATTTGATTGATAAAAACCATTGGGGAAATGGGTGATAGTCCAATAGTAATAATGAGAAATTGAAAGGTTCCTAACTTTTTTTTTCTCTTCTCTTCTTATTCTTGAGTGTTGATGTTGATGATGATGATGTTGGTGGTGATGAAGGGTAATTCATGGAGTGGATTCTGGGCAAGATGGAAATGGAAGAAGATGATGATGATGTAGCATTAAAGGTAAAATCTGGTTGATTCCTGACATTGCGAGAGAATTGGAAGAAGCAAAAAAAGTCCAACACTGAAAACACTTTCTTTCTCATCTAGTTGATTCAGCATCAATGATTGGCTATCATTTGATGATTACCATCTCACTGATGCATCAGTGAGATGATGATGATGATGTTTACCGTCATCATCTTCTTGATACACATTTCTTGTTTTTTTTTCATCAATGGTAAATTTAGGTTCATCGTCTGGGTTAAAATGGGTTAACAGAACTTTCTACATTTCCTGAAACTTTTACTTCCTGATGAATAATTGAATTGAAAATCTCTGTATACAAAAATTGGAATCAATATCATCACCAAATTGAAACCAAATCTCCACAATTATATTCAGTTTGCTGCAAAAGGATATGAGATTTTGTCAAAATAAATTATCTTCTACTTTCTAATCACTCTGGATATTGACAGATAAGACCAGTTAGTTTAATCTGTCTCATTTGAAGAAGCAAATCCTATGATAATCTTAATCTTCTAACCAGTAATCATAATCACAATGAATACCACAAAGTATTAATCTAAAAATTGGTTAGATAATAAAATGAACATGAAAATGTCTCAACACAAAAAAAAGAGTACCAACCATTACGGAAGTAATAAACAATGAATAAAAGGAAACTTATGATTCAATAGGTTTCCTTTCATTCCTTTTGTATAATAATCATCGTTTCTATCATAAACTCCTCAATTCTGTTTCCTTCTCATCCTTCATCATCCACCTTAAATATTTCACTTTTCTCATTCTCTCTTCAAGTCTATCTACATAAATAAATCAGGAATAAGAACACATATTCAACGGTTCTTGTGATAACTATTAACACTTTTCCTTATCAATACCTCTTCTTTTGTCTCTTCCCTCCATCCTTATCATCATCTCCTTCTCTCTCTCTCTCTCTCTCTATTATCATCCTTACGATCTTCTTTATCATCATTAGAATCTTGAGCATTTCTTCTTCTTCTTCATCATCTTCCCGATTTATCACATTACTTCCTATTCCCTCATTGTATTTTCTTATTACCAACTTATCATCATCATCTTCTTCTCACTTCCTTTTAATATCATCTCCTTATCTTATGATAGTTTTCCATAATCTTTCCTTCATCATGAAAAAGCAACAACAACAACAACACCATGATGATCATCATCACTATAATCACTACGACAACAATAGTCACCATTATTCTGTATAATAGATAATAGTATTGATTAACATGATAATATTGGACAATATTGTTTATTACTAATAAAAGATTTCATTAGTAATGAGTTATTTTCATTTACCTATTGCATGATAATAGTAATTGAATTTTCTATACCAAATCAGATTTCAAGATTTCCATATTATAATGAATAACAACCTTGAAAACTTTTTTTCTTTTCAATAAGCATCATCAACATGATAATTATCAGCCTATTAGCAGACTAAATAATAACCCGAATATGTAAATATTTATTTCGAGTTGAAGTTTTCTCTTCATTGAAAATATTATTCATACATGTATATTAGATATTATCTTTAAGGTTGAAAACGTTTTCAAATGAAGTCAATATGTTACATGGAAGTAAAAATATTTATAAATCATGAATCTAACTCTTATATCCTCTGTTGATGGGAATCTTTTCACTGAATTATTGGTATTATCAACATGATAATGTTGAAAACTGTGTATGGATGCTGATGATGATGACCTGATTTTTTTTCTCTTGCTTTACCAACACTGTTACCACAGTAGCTACTTGTTTTCATTCTTGAAAAATTGATGATAATTATGATGATGAACTGATAGTATTAATAATATGATAAGCATTGAAAACATCCATATACACACATTGAATATGTTTGTTGTATTAATGCAACACTTTTGTTAACTTATGGTTTTCAGCTTGATAAATAAACGGGCTAATATGTTGATAGATTAACAATGAAAGGATAGAAAGAGATTAATCTTACACCCAAATAAAGTGGAAAGCGAAAGATGGAGAGAGAGAGAGAGAGAGAGAGAGAGAGAGAGAGAGAGAGAGAGAGAGTAATAATAAAGTGTGTTCGTGTAGTGATATGATTTATACATCAATGGGATAACCAATGAGAAAGATGAAAGTTTATGTAAGAAGATGAGGAGTGGAAATAGGAAGAGGGAAAGAAAAGTTGTAATCATGATAATATGTTAACCGATAAGATGGGTGAGTTAGGCTGGTTATGATGAAGAAAGAGAAGAAGAATAAAAAAGAAAAGGAAATCACTGGCTGACCATTTCCTCTTTTCCATCTTCAAGAGATGAAAAAATTACTTACTTAACCTTATATACACTTTTCGACCATCTCCCTCTCAATTTCATTTTCCATTCACCCTTACCCACTGAAACAATTCATATCACTTGACCACAAGTTCATTCAACATTTTCACTTCCAACATACTCTTCTATCTGATCTTCCACCAATTTCCACATTCAAATTGACCATTAGACATTTTATCATCCCAACTAATACCTAACAAACTATTGCTAATTTTACAAAAGTTTATCAAAATCAACAAGAACATGAGTCCAGTGATAATATGGTGGCTCTAATTGCCTCTGAAGTTTTCACTACTCAAGAGTTTGACTCTTGAATTAACACTTTGAGTGTGACAATCAATCAAACAAAAAAAATGTAACTGAGACTGAATCAATCGTTATACTCTCGTTTCTTCAGGAAAAAAAAAAGTTTCAAACTTTTAAGATTTAATAGAATTCATGTTTCCAATTGAATAGAGTCACCGAAGGAAACTCAAGTTTCCAGCATTCTATTTCTATTTCATCTTATTGTATTTTATGTTACTTGAGATTTGTTCTGGAATAGTTTTCATGTATAAGAATAAGAAAAAAATTACATTACTTTGCCAAAGAAAAAAAATCTGCAAACATTTAAAAGTTGGAAAAAAGTTTTCTCGAAAAAAAAACTTTGAATCGATACTAGCAAATAACATGAACAATCAACTGATCATCATTTGATGATTATCTCATGATTAAGTGATTTAAATGTAAATTATTGAAAACATCGATTGAAACGTTGAGAGAGAAAAATATTCTTGAAACTCTGGATCCATGGGGTTGAATTTCACACTTCGATTAAGAATTAAGTTTGATTATCACTGTTATTAGGACGATACGTTCATTCATTACTAAACTTTCTTGATTCATTAAGCTAACAATTTATTTCACATTCTAACAAGTTTATTATTATTATGTTTTCATTATCATTCAATTATTAAGCTACTACTTGGTAACAAGTTGTAATCAATTTTATTTTGCTTTTTCCACGAATGAAAAAAATCAAATGAAATCAAAGTGAATTCAATTACGAAGTGAAAGTAATTACATTGAATTACTCAGGTGAATGTTTTGACAATACTTAATTGAATTTAAATGAACGTAAGTTTAATAATAATAAACGCTGGAAAGTTAACAATTACTGTAAATTTCATTCAGATTCTGGTAATTAAGGTTAGCATGAGAAGAATTAAAAAAATAATTTCTAATACCATGTAAAGTATCAATAAATATAAATTTCATTGAACAATATTAACCATTCAAATGTGTGAATAAATAGTATACATTTATGAAACTTAGGATTTCCATGGTAATATTGAAGCGGAATTTTTAATGAGCATGGGAAATGTTTCCTTCACGTTACCTCCTCAGTTTCCAATTGAATTGAATATGAAGATTATTCTTAATGGGACGATAAGTTTATAATGGTGAAGAAGAAGGTGAAATATTGATTTCGATTGTTGGTATTATAATCGATTTTAGATCAGCTGTCATCAGTATGATGTGATTTCTGAATTTTCTATTCAACTCTCTGCATTGTATTTATTTCTACACTATGAATGGCCAAGGAGAGAGAATCTTATTGAAAATATGATTCTTTGAGAATTCAGTTTTTTCTCTTTGTACACAAAACCATTTCATTTACCTGTCATTTTGATTCATTATATGGCAATATTACGGTAATGTGATGCTACTAGAAAAGTATGGGAGTATAAACTTCACCGAAGTTCATTGAAAATTCGTGAGAAATTTTCGGGTTAATTGGGTTTAGCCAATTGGCTGTTCTGAAATTCATTTCTGGACAAAGTATCTTAAAAAAAGTTCTTGAATAAAATGATTGGAAAAATCATTGTTTAATATTGTGAGTTTAGTGGAAGTTTGTGATGATAAGATAAAGGATAAGAATAAGATGGTTTGGGAGTTGATCTACAAAAAAATGATGATAAAGTGTACGAACATCGATAAATAAACTTTCACTGAATATTAAGAACATTTTTTTATATTCTTGCTTTTGTTTTTCTCCTTAAATCTTATAAATTCATGAAGTTTTCAAATTTTCCTCCATCTCGATGACAGTTTATCTTTTGAGTTTTCTTTTTCTTAGGTAGCAAAATGTGACAAAAAGAAAAGTCATTGAAACATTTGAAAAGTTCAATAGTAAATAATAACTTGCAAAGGTATTGGAAAAATAGTAATCCTCCATTTCAATACTTTTATTGGAACAAAAAAAAAGTTCAGCTAAAATACTCAAACACATGACGATTATAAATTGTCTACATTAATTTTATGCCATTTTCAGGTTATCAATCTGAATATCTGAACTTATCTGAACCATTTCAATATCAATTACACTGAAAGAGGTTTAATCTAATCATGAATGATAATCATTGAGTACTCACAGATCAAAAGTCAAAAGGTGATATAAATATATGGGTATTTAAACTATCATTTTGAATCTTATTGATGGATGGTAAGTTAGAAAATTAGAAATTCAGTCTTAAATCACCACCAAAGTCAAAGTTCATTCCGAGTAAAAGTCTGAACAACAATCAGTCATGAATATGAATAAAGTTCTGCAAGTTTTATCAGTCTTATGGTTAAATTCTGTGTCAGTCTTACTCTTACCAAAAGATGATCGTACAAATATTATCAATCATCACTAATGGCCAGCAAATCAGTAAATTTCACCCAGTTAAATAAATTTCATCTCTTATACTGTTTAACCATTATCGAGTTTGTTTTCAAAACAAATTAATGTCTTCGCCAAAGCCCAGGTCAAGTACATGTGCACATAAACACTTTAATAACGGCTAAGTTTCTTTGAGAACTTTGGAAATGCCAATTGTAATACTTGTCATTTTATCGAAAAACATTAATGTCTTGATAGCTAACAATTTGTTTCTTTATGATAATTCAGATTATATTATTACGATTCTATGTAATTGGATTTACTTATATTTAAATATTGATTACAATTATAATCAATTTTTCTCTCTGTATATTTATAATAAAGATTGTCTATTAATTGAGAGATATGGGAAAGGAAAAGTTAATCAAACGGTTTCTCAGAAAACTTCATACTCATGATAATTTATTATTAATGTGATATTTAAATTTCAAACTAATTTACATGTGAATCAAAATTATGTTTATTTTTAATTCGAGAATGTCAAGTAGAGTAGTTACTACAAATATATCTGAGCTTAATTACCAGTTTAATTAACTTAAATTAGTCTCTAATTAGACTATGAATCAACTTCTAATTAAGTTTTAACCCTCACAGTTATCATGGTTAATATTTGAATTGCCAATGGTTAGCAGTTAATTGGACACAACAGTGGGCACAATTGTTAAGAATCATTGATAGTTAATCATGAAGCAATTAAGATAATCTTGATTATAATTATGGTACAATTAAAATAATAATAAGCCCACAGTTCATAGCTATTTGGAGTTGACTAAATATCTGCTTGGAAAATAATTAACCTCTATTATTAATCATTAATTATCATAAGCATTTTTTTTTAAATTGTGTCCTGATAATTATCGTTTGGACAATCAATTGATACGTTTAATTGGCACTCAGAAGATGATTAGATGAATACATGGTAAATTTCATGATGAAATTTTTAACTGTTGAAACTTTTTCTCAATAAATAGTTTATATTACACTTGAACAGTTCAAGTTTATCGGATGTATTGAAATTTTCAATCGTAACTCTGTAACTTAATGAAACTTTATTCATCCTGTTTCCTCATGAAAGTTCATGATTATTTTCAGATCAACCAGATAAGATTGAGATAAAAGGTTAATGATCATTTGACTAAATACTTTGTTTCCAATGATGATGATAATGATGATTTTTTTGTAATTCTCTCTTTTATTATTACAGATTCAGATTAAGTTTATTGCTTTTGTTGTTCAGATTTATCTCTTCCTACTCTTTCATTATCATGTTAATGCTCAATTGAGAGAGGTTATTTCATGATAAAAAGAGAAAAGTTTTATTTAAATTTCCATTGTATGTAATACATTTGAATCATTACTCATTCAATTTAGACTTTAAGGTTTTTCCAAATGATGATGAGTTGATGAACTGATCAATCGATGAGTATATCATGAATTCAATTGTAAATCGACATGAAGATTCAGTAGATAACTATTAATATACATGAACATATATGAAATTAATTTAAATCTTCTATCTCAATGGAAAACAATGTCTTAATCAATTGTATTAACAGTCCAGTAAGTGGACAGCAATCATCATTATAATATTCGGAAAGCGGAAGAGAAATCAAAGTAACATGAAACAAAAAAGAAACAAAAACCGGAAGTATTGAACTTCCTTCATCTTGTATTGAAGAATTGTCGTTCTACAATATTAATCAGATCATGGAACTGATTTGTCTTTACAAAGATGTTCAGAGTCCAAGGTTATCATATTGATTAAGACAATGGCTGGTGTAGTAATAGTATAACCACCTATTTAGCTATTTTTCTTCCATCTCTCTCTCTCTCTCCTTCAAGCTTGCTGACCACATTATCCCTCCGTAAATGAAACAATCAAACATTGATCAATTGAATTCGATTACTTTTGTAATACTTGAACATGAAAATTCAAAGTAATAGATCATCAGATCAATCTCTTGTGCTTCAAAAACAATATTAAGAATCAACAATATCCTTCATTCATTTCTCATCACCATCACCATCAATGTTGGTTGTTGGTCAGTTGCTCTTATCCCTTGTATCTGATCGTCTATTTATCAATACAGACACAGAATGGGCAAAGATTAACCATAAAAGTTAAAAGTATAATGATGATCATGATCATCTCCTTCTCTCTCTCTCTCTCTCTCTCTCTCTCTCTCTCTCTCTCTCGATTTATTTCTACTGAGATGATCCATTTCCATCTAATAGAAGAACAATCATCATTTAGAAGTCATGTCCATCCAAGTGAACCGCTTTTTCTTGTAAAAATCAAGTTCCACCTTCTTGTGTATCTTTACTACAACACTTTATCCATACTCATCCTCATCATTATAATAAATATTTTCATCTTCTTCCTGTTCCTCTTTGTATTCCTCTATGATGATAATAATGATTAAACCAAAACAAGGAAAAACTTTGATGAGAATGATTCAAGCATTTTCACCTTCAAGCCATTATAACGATTCAATGATTGTAGTTACTGTTGTTGTTATTTCTCCGGTTAAGCCCAAAATTGAATAAGCTAAATTCATGGTATTCAAGCGAAAAGAGGAAATAATATCATATCTAGAAATCAATTTGAATTGTTTACAGACAGAAGAAAAAGAAGAGAGTTTCCAACTTATGGATAAATTCTGTAGCTTTATCATCAAATAGAATAAATAAAAAAAATCGAGATACATCTTGAAGGTTCCATAATCGCCAAGAAAATCATCATCAGTTGAATTTATTTGTACATTTAGAAGGAAAAGTTAATGAACTGAATAAATACCTGTATGTTTTTCTGGCTCACCGAGAGTACTTCCTGGAATTGAAACTGAATGACTTCGCCCCTTAGCATTAGATGAATAAAGAACCAATGTAAACGGTGTTCCCGAAAGTAGATTAGGTATATGGAAGGCAGGTTTCGTCGTTGAGGTATAATTAGAGTGAAGACTTTGCCGGAGAGAATTGTAGACCTCAACGGTAAATTCTTGCTTAAGGCCACCGCTATCACCGGGAATACATTCAACGTTTAAAGAGGTTGTCGATTGGTTTGTTATCTGACATTTTCGAACTGCTTCCGGTGGTCCTAAGTAGCCCAAGTAAGAAACAAATTAATTACATATTGATACAATTTTCAAATGTTTAAGTTGTTTTTTTTCTTCTAGATAATAACCTTCCTGTTAATTTTATATTCAATTAACTCTGATTGTTGTTTTATTTTTCACAACATTTACTTTTATTTTAATGAGAGAAACTCCAATTGTTTTTACTCCCAGATGATTAAACAAACAATCAACTCAAATGACACTGAAATTATTTTCATGAGAAAATTTTACTGACTATCAATTTAATTTTATGATTCTGATTCATGATGATGATGTTGATCATTTTTCATTTTATCAGGTCAACATGATCATTTTCAAATTCACTTTCAACATAAGTATAAAAACTTGAGTCTAGTAACAGAATCAAAGATTTTATTCTCCAGATAATGTCCACCATGATGCATGATGATGATGGTGATTTCTGAGTATATTTCATTATGATTGAAACGGATATTTGATTATGAGAAGGAAGAAAAAAATTTTGTGATTGAATAACAATCAATTTGAAAAGTAAGTAAAAAAAAAACTTTCACCATCATCATTCAAAGCCATTTGGTCATTCATCAATCTATTGAAAGCCATTAAAAAACACCATCATCATCATGGTGATGATAATCAAAAGTTGATTCTGATAGAGTGTAAATAATCAAGAGAGAGAGAGAGAGAGAGAGAGAGAGATGTTGACACATCAGAAGCTCTGGCTTAAGGGAATGAAAGATTTTTTTTCATCATTTTCTAAGAGATGAAATGATGAACAAGAGAAAAATGATAAACTATCACAAAGATTCAATTGTTTTCTCCAGGGAGAGACTGTAAATACTACAAATAGACAGAATCACAATTGACATGTTGAAATCTTTTCCTTTTTTTCAAATGTAACCTGAATGTTAATTATATTCTTTCACTCCCTGGATACTCTGTCAAAGTTTGAGAAAAGAATAATAAAAATCGTCTATTATTTGGTACTAAAATTTATATTGAAATGAAGAATCATCATAAGACAAGTGCAAGAATTGAGTACTATTAAAAACAACTGCTTACCTGTGGGAATGATATTAAATATACAAGGATCTCGTTGGACTCCGATGTCATTAACTGCCCAACAAGCTAAAGCCCCGTAGGCAAAACGGTTTCTTGGACGGTAGGTAGCAATGCTGACCGATCCATTTGTGATAAATGAACGAATGTCAACATTTTCATTGGATGCATTAAGTGACCATTTAAAGTTAACATTACTTGGCTCAGCTTCAACTTCACAAGTAATCTGGACAATCTCATTCCGAGCCACACCATAGATTATTTTCTGCCCCGGCTTACAAACCGGTGCAACTATTTGGTGTTATTATAAATAAAAAACATAACAAATTAGAGGGGCTTTCAGGTGCAAACATGAGAAGTAATTTTATCCTTACAGTTAATCTTGAGATAGAAATCCTCAGAATGACCTTGTCCAGCACTATTTGACGCCGTGCAAAAATAGCGTCCAGCTTGACTGCGTCTAACCTTTTGCAATACCAATGATTGATTGGTCACTATGATTCCTTCATTGGGTTTACTAATCAAAGGCTCTTCTTCAAAGTACCAGGTAACCCCTGTAATCCATGGATTGGCTATAACCTTACACTCAAGGTAAACATCATTACCTTCACGGACAGAATTATATTGTATCTTGGCTCCCAATGATATGGACAATTGTGGGATAACTATTGAAAATAATAATGATTAACATTTTATGGATGTTGCGAACTTTTCATATTATTAAATTAGACAGATCATAATGGTTTGTGAACTTACATTGGACATTTAAGGTTCGACCATCTTCCAGTCCGCTAAAACCAATTGATGGATTATCGGCTCGACAGAATAAATATTTACCGTTATCTTCAACAATGGGTATAAATGAAACCGTGGACAGTGTAACATTACCATCAGAGGAAATGGTATCACGGACATTGGTCATCTTTTCATTACCTTTCCACCAAGCTATTTTAGCCGGTGGACGAGATCCACTTGAAAGACATTGTAACTCAGTCCGTTTACCAACGGACAAAGTATTCACAGTGGAAGAAATTTTAACATCTAATGGTTTAACTATTTACAGATGAAAGAAAATAAACCGTTTAATTAAATCAGAAACAACAACAAAAATCAACTCATTTTCTAAAACACTATTCTAATACTTACGATTTATATCTAAAATAATTGAGCTTTCAATTGGGACGGTTAAGTTAGTATTTGAGGCTTTACAAGTTAATTCGAGTAAAAAATGGTTTCGACTTAAATTGGTTATAATTATTTCATTTTTCATATTATTATGAGGAGCAAGGCCGAAGGTATCATCGAGTAAACTTTCACCATTCCACCAGGTAATATTGGGCAATGGATTACCTGTTAAAGTGAATAATAATTAATATCAAGAAAATTAAACACCTCAGGGAGTTTACGTCAATTAAACAGATTCATTTTTCGAAACCCTTGAACCACTTTGGCCATAAACATGTTCAACGTATTTAAAGTCAACATAACATAGAGTCTCTTTTGTTGCTGAGACCAGAGTAGTTGAGGTCATACATCACAGAACATAGTTAGAGGTCGAGGTTGTTGAAGGTTTTTTTTCTGCAAATTAATTAGCGTAAAATCATCATCTGAATCAATTAAATTACCTCCTTCGGCTTCGCATGTTAACTTAAGGTCACTTCCTTCATCATATGGACCAATTGTACCAATTAAACGTTGGCCCGCTTGGTCAGTTATGATCATCTCCTTTGGTGGAGCTAAAATATTAAATTGTAAGTAACAGAGGGAAATAATTGTTCAAATTGTTAATATCTTTAACTTTTATCATGAACAGAAATAAAAAAATATACTGATCTCATATTTAACCTGATTGCTGATAATCAATTCAATCTTTGAAATGAGATATTATCATAATGATGTTTTCATAGCGATTCCATGTTAAGATATATACATATATAAGGTTAAATGATGAAGTCAAGTGATTAATAAAAAAAAATGAAAGGATGAAGATGCTAATGTTGTTGTTGATGATTATGATGAAAGATGAAACATCAACTGTTTTATATTAATAATAATCTTTATATATAATATTGTAACTTTACTTTGGGAGTAAATCATTTTTCACCTCATAATCTACTAAGAAAAATGTTGGAAGTTGTTTGTTGATTTATGGTAAACAGGGATTCTTATATTATCATATTATTCAACCTTATACATTGAACTTATCATGGTAACAGTCACATGATGATGAAAATGATAATCATGATAATAATATCAATTGAATATGAACCAGAATAATAATATATATATAAAAGATAATCAACTTGTGTGTGTGTGTATGTGTCTTGGTATATATTTACTTATTATTTGAGAATAAATTAATATATTATTATAATAATGATGTTAATTATATACAGAATTAACTAATTCAACGTTTACTGTGTACAGATTAAACTTAAGGAATTAATTGTGAACAATTTATCTAATACTTGTCCTGAGATCAATCAATTCATGTTTGAAGATCATCATTATCTTGACATTTCTTATAGCGAATGCTGATAAGTTTTTCTCGCAAAGTGGGTATGCAAAAGGTTAACTATCTTTTCACGATTAATTTCAGATCTGATTGAATTAACGCTCTATTTTCCATGGTCTATTTGGTCCTCTTGAACTTTTCCCCATTCTTTTGCTCTGTCTCTCTATCTCTTTCTGCTTATCGATTCAATTTGATCTTGACTTGTATTCATTTTTGAGATAGAATCGGCTCTCCAGGTTCAGTTTTATTCTAGAAATTTATTATTATAATAGCAATTTGTTCATGGTTGATGAAGATGTCATCATGATGAGGAAACTGTTGGGGATGCGGAAAAAAATTGCTAAGTAAAATTGAAGAGAACGGAAAAGCTTATGTTCTTTTATGCAAATGTTAAAAGATGTTAGTTTGCAAGTAAAGATGATAAATCACGAGTGACTCTGATCTTCGCAAGCATCTTATTTGTCTTCCTCATCATCGTCATAAAGAATGATGATGATAAAATAGTGAAGGGTAACAAAGGAGAGAAGGAGAAAAGTTTCCAAAATTTTTTCTTCGCTTTTTTTTTCATTTCTTCTTCTCTCATGACGATGATGATGATGCTACATGTTTATGCACTACAATGAGCTGGTACAAAATGAAGCATGATGGTGATACTAAAGTCTATCTGTAGATGAGAGATGACGGAAAGTCAAAAATTTATTATTAAGTATCTGCTACTTTTAACCAGTTCTGTTCTAATATCATGAATACCGTTCAGGGAAAAAATCAGAATTTACTATTTGTAATCATGTCTTTTTATATATCATTCCCTTATCCATGGGAGTTGATGTTTCAAAAAATTGTTGTGTAGTTTCAAGTCTAACACTGAATTTTCTAGTTGTAATTTCCTTTTGGTCCTTACAAAAATCATCAAACAATATTTATCATTGATTCATTGGAAATGCATGATGATAATTCTCTGCTAAGCTTTTGGGAAATCATGGTAAGTAAATAGAACTATGATCAAGATAAAGAAATATTTGCTTCGATCTGTCTCATTCTAAATGAACTTTTTTTATCATCTCATTCTCTCTCTCCCTATTCCACTTTTCCCTTCACTTACCACAGAAAAAAATAACATTATATCAAGTATTCCATCATGAATGGATGGGAAAACGTTGGCACAGAAGGACAGGGTGGGAAGAGAGAGAGAGAGAAAGAGAGAGAGAGAGAGAGTAATAAGTGAGATAAAGATGTAACAATAAATAACATAAAGATGATGAAAAGTTCTGGTATCTTGATAAAAGAATCATAATAATATTTGACTGATGAAAGTTGATGAAAGAGATATAAGAATTTATCTCTATAATAATATAAAGTCAATATATATAGAAAGAAAGTCTAACCATTTATCATGATGATTTGTGAGTACACAGAATCGTGAGAGCCTCAAATACCATGAGAAAAGATTAGATAACGGAACTGGACTGATTCCAATCGATTAGAAAATAATCAAAGCTTAACAAGCAAAATACCAAATACTAAACATGTGAAATTTATTATTTAAGAGTAAAAGTTGTAAAAAAAATCTAATAAAGAATAGATGAAATCTTTTCATTTAATAATTCGAATCTCGAACAAAATTCGATAAAACTTTTCCCCTTCTTTGACTTGTTTTCGAAGTGATAATTTTCATCTAAAGGTTCATAGTAACACGCTAATAGGGTTATATTAACATCTACTGAATAGTATTAAAATTGATGGATCATTTATTGATATTCTATAAATTTTGATTGATTATCAAGTGAATATCATTAATTAAAATTAAATGTCAACTCGATAATTGAAATGAACTAGAGGCTTGATGATTTACCACAGAATTCATTTCATCTGATCATCAAGAAAGTTATTAAGATGATAATTGAGAAGAAGAAAAAAAAAATGATAAAACAAAGATAAACAGGGAATATAATTAGAAAAGGGTTGGGTTAGTATGAGTTGTTACATGATAACGGGAATAAGTTGTGTTCAGTTTCATTAATAGAATGGTGAGAATAAAATAAGCCACCAAAGGAATGATGATGATGATGATCTGGTGGTGGGTGGATGGGGAGGAGTAGGAATTGGAATAGGAGGAGGACACTGTTGATGATAATGTCACTGAAATGAGACAACATAAGAAGAAGAAGATGATGATGATGATGATGATAATATAAAAAAAGTATCTACTGGACTGTGAAGCAAATGTAATGTTGAAAAAAAATGTAAGTGACTCCAATAACCGATAAAGAGATTGACTTGGATTTTGTCTCTTTATCCTCATCATCTAAGCTTATCTTGTTTTCCCAATATTATTAGACCTTAAATTGACCTGAAAATGATTGTCCTCCTCCTCCTTTTTCTCATCATCATCTTCATCTTTATTATTCTTACTTTCTTTTCCCCTCTTTCTTACTTTATTATATTTACTTGCATCATCATCATCTTCATCTTCTATACAGTATATAACATCATCTGAATCAACATCCATACACTAATATCATCCCAAGTATTATCCTCATCTTTTATGGCTCAACTTTATTTTCTGTTTTTCTGTTTTTTTCTTTTCATGATGAACATTGAAAATTAGAAACAAAAACATTCCAATGGTCACTTTATTTTTTTTACAATGGAAGATGAAATTAATCAGAGAGAAAGTAAGAAAGAAATTGAAAGGAGAGAGAGAGAGAGAGAGAGAGAGAGAGAGAGAGAGAGAGAGAGAGAGATGAGGATGAAGAGTATGAAAAATGTTCATCGTGATGAACTTTTTTGAATGTTTATAAAGATTCTGTTGAATTAAGATGATAAAGTTGATTAACTTTACTCTTTTCGTGGTGAAAATAATTTCATATCAAAATTTAATCATAAAAATTTGTTTTTATCACGAAACCTTCACATCTTTATGATAATAATAATTAATAATTAGATGCTGGTTGTTTTTTATTATATCAATATCATTGTATCCATGGAAATAAGATGAATAAAAAAAATAACATCAACATCATTTTTAATGCTCCTTTGAGATTTCGTATCTTAATCATCTCATGGATAAATTCATCACATGGTAATAATATCTCAAGAAGAAGATGTTGAAATTTGATAAGGTCATAATGGTTTCAGTTAATAAATAATAATAATAATTTTTCTAAATCATAATGTTGATTTGAACTTACCTATCACATCTAATTTGGTGACAAAATTTTTCGTCCTTGATTTTCTGTAATCAACTCGACACCGATAATCACCAGCATCATCTTCAAGAACTGGACTTATCCTTAAAACTGGAGGTTTTAATTTAACATCGAAAAAAAGTCTCTTCTTATATGAATTGGGAACTGAATGTTTAGATTCACTTAAAGGACTATTTCGAGCATCAACCGAGTAGATCGGTAAACCCGAACCACTGGTCTCTTTATACCAAAGCACTAATGATATCAATTCTTCACCCCAGATTGAAGTGTTACAGGGAAGGCTTATTGTGGTTCCAGCAGCGGCAGTGAATTCACTATAACCTGAATTTAGAGATTAACCAGAAAACAAGAGTTAAAGGTCGAATTCAAGTTTATTTACTTTTCATCTTGATCGTTAAAAGAGAAAAATCAATCGAATTAGAATCATGTAAACTAAGAGTGTTATCATTTTCATGAACTTGTTGGTAGAAAGATGATCTTTACTATCTGATCTCTGATGCATCAGGAATTAGAGATTAGATTTCATTAGATTATCTTACAGATTAATTGGATAGAAAATAAATGCGATAATAAAAAAAGGATAAACTAAATGTGCTGACATTGTAGGTGACATTTAATTGATACTAATTAAACTTGATCATTTGGTATAACAACAATGATCATTGGTAATAATTGACTAGAAATTAAGACTAAAGCTTGACCATTTCAATGCTATTTAATACAAAAGCCTAATAGTAAATGGAATTGGTATCAAAATAAAACTGTCACTTGTGTCATTTGAATGGAACAATGAAATTCATCATCATCTCATTAATAATAGAAAAGATTAGAATCAATTGTTTTCCTGAAATAAAACACTGATTCTTGTTTACTTTGTATTCCTATGAATAACTGAATATACAAATTGTTAAAACTTTTTGTCTTCAGCATTGAGACTGAAAAGTGGCAAATGGAAGACACAATTTGTTGATAATGAAAGGATAGAAATTCTGAACATCATCAGTGTTTCGAATCGATGACAATTAACAATTTGTTGTTTTAATTAGTCTTCGAATTTCCTTAAATTTGTAAATTTCCATCGTGACAATTAGTTAATTGCGCGTCCAAGCCTTTGTGCTTTTCTTTTCTTTTATTTTTCTAATTGTTTAATTTTCTAAATTTTCATTAATCATTACAACAATTTAAACTCTATGTTAGACCTCCTACAACTATAGTTGTATATTGGTTGTAAAGTTAATTGTAATTTCCATTGTTGCAATTAACCAATTAAGATGATTAATATCCTTAATCATAGTTGTTTAATTGTTAACTAATTAATAATATCCCTCATTTAACCAATTATGTTACTCTAATTCTATATCTAGAGATATATGAATTCAATTTAATTTTCATTTTTAATTGTTACAATTAGTTAATTTTCATTTAAATTGTTAACCCAAATCTCTTCATTTTTTAAGTTCACTTACAAATGAACCAAAAGTAAGAGACCCGAATTTCTCTTTCTCTCTATCTCTTTCTTTTACTTTCTTTTATTTTAGGTATTAACCTTCAAGCCTACAAGCTTAGTAACAGGTTAACCAATTTCTTATCTTCATCTTTATCTTTAACCATATTCACATTTGGTTTTCTTTTGTTCAACTTAACCCTTACTCATTATTAACTTTATCATTTTAATGATTTAGATTAATTTTGTTTCCCCCATTTAATTTTCCCTAATTTCTTTTCCCCAATTTAATTGTATTTCCCCCAACGTTAATTTTGTTCTCTAGAACAATTTTCCATCTCCCTCTTTAGTGTTTAGTTAACTTTCAACAAATGCTCATCTAAAAATTCTTAATTAAAATTCATTGTGAAATTAATTGTTTTAATTCTTAAAATCAATAGATTTAAGTGAGTACTTGATTCAGTGATTAACACATTCAATTAGTGATCCTAAACGATCTTGTTCTTCGGTTATTGTGGGACCGAAAATCTTCAAATTCGAGGTTAAATTCCTTTCCAAGTCTTTAGGCTTATCCGAGTAAAAACTCACCATCGTCTTTATTAAGACAATTCATCAAAATTCAAAATTCTACCCCACAAATTGGCGACCCAGGCAGGATTGCTAATTGTTTTGTGTTCTTCAATTTTCCCTTACGTTTCTTGTGCTCTCCCTAATTCTATTGAATTATTCCCCTAAATTCTAATTTCATCATGCCTCCTAAAAAATCTAAACTCGCTGCTGCGAAACGTGTCGCAAACGCTCGTGCTGCTAAAGCTGCAAAGGCTACTCGCCGTTCTCATCTAAATCTCTGAATCAGAGGATGATACCATCATTCCTGAAACAGATCCTTCTCTCAACTCCCGTTATGGTTAGACCACCAACACGTGTTTCTACCACTAACATTGAAAAAACAAAATCTCTTAGAGATATAAATTATCAAGAAACTCTTGTTCTTTTTGAACAATGGAATGCTTCCCTTCCAATTCGTTCCCTTCATCACAAAAAACTTTTGGATGTTGTGACTACAAATTTCCTCCTTCTTGGTGAAACTGTTTCTCCTGAAGACATTGCTGATATTTCAGTTGATGAAATTAAAAATCAAAAAATCCCTGAATGGATTCTTGAATTTCGTGGTGCTAACATCTCGGAATCTGAGATTCAAATTTTTCTTAAAAATATTGGTCGTGATGATGAGACAATAATTAAATTGTCCCATGATCAACTTTATTCAATCCCTCTTTCTCTCAGTGTTTTAAACAAAATTAAAAATATTTTAAACACTTATGGTGCCAATATAATTGATCCACCTACTCCATCCATCTCTCCATCTACCATCTCTAACGAAAATTTCACCCCAGTGAATTTCCTTGAAATTGTTAAACAATTAAAGGCTGACCCTCATGTCCCTGAATTCAAATCAGGAGAGGATCAATACTCTTGGTTAGTAAAAACAAGAGATCGTTTAATTAACGAAAATGTTGATGACCCCACCCGTCTTCGACTATTACAAAAATCCATGGCGCATGAGATTAAGTCCAGTGCTATTGGTCTTGATCATATAAAAGATTATAATGATTATGTTGCTGCCCTTTTCGAGAAATTGAGAACCCCCGAATCTCAATATTCTGCTGATTTTGAGCTCAGAACCTGTAGGTTCAACCCTGAATTCCACCCTGAGAAATTCTTTTCGGACATGAAGCGACTAACAAATAAAGCTTATGGTCCAACCCCAGATAAAATTCTTTTGGCCCTCATTTTGGATCACATTCCCCGTTACATCCGAGATGAAATTTACAATTTGGGCATGAACGACGACAAGGTTAGAATTTATAATTATCTAACAAAGAAACATTTTGATTTTAAATTAGATCAAAATAGAAACAAAACAAAAACAAAAACAATGAAAACCACCGACAAATTTTGTCTCAAAATTGAGTAAACCTCAAAATAATCAAAATCAAAAAAGAACTGATTCCTCAACATCTAAAGATGTAAAATTTTGCAATTATTGCAAGAAAGACAATCACACAATTGAAAATTGTCTTAAATTGGCTTATCGAAAAGCTCAAGAAGCCGCTGGAATTATACCCCCCAAATCAAACACTGGTTATCCAAGAAATTTTAACCAGACTCAACAAAATGCTGCCTCCGCTAATCTTACCACTGTGGTAAACCAAGAACCAATTCATCAGGTTAATCCAATTAACACTATTGTTCCTGTTCCTCAGATTTTTCCCAATTCTTCCCAAGTTGAAGTTAGACCTCCCACTCCCCCTGAACCAATTCAAGATGGTTACCGAAATAAATCTGTTGGATTCGCGATATCTAGAGATATAAAACAACTATCTCAACTCGGTAATTGTGGTGTAAATCACATGCCCCAAGTCAACTTAACTCTTTGTACCCCTGATAAATCTCGAGTTAAGGAAGGAAAAGTATTGGTCGATACTGGCGCTTCTGCTTGCGTTATTGACGCTAAATTGGCTAATCAACTTCAGGCTCATATAACTAAAGTTAATCGAAGCCTAAAAGGTATTGCTGCAGGTGCATATGTGGACTCTATTGGTTTTGCTTACGCGCTCATCAAACACAATGAAATGGATGAGACTGAATTATTAAGTTCCAAATCTGTCAAGATTTCGAACCAATTTTTTGCTTGCATGCATTTGCTGTTTATTACATGAAAATAATTTCTGATGGTTATGAATATAACATCACCGTCAAGAAAGTCCCAATTCTGAAGAATTAACCAGCCCTGACTTTTATTTTAGATTTTGTACTCCTCAAGAAACTGAGCATCTTATTGAATCTTGTATTAAAGTAACTGGCAATGCTTCTTCCGACTACATTTTGGACTCAAATTCTCCCTCAATTAACAATTCCGGTCATAATTCCAATCTCGTGAAAATCCCTAATTCTAAAGAATTCCCTCAAAACTCATTAATTGCTCGCTGTGACTTTACTAGTGCTCAAGAAGTTCGTGAAGTTAAAATTCAACCATTTTTTGAAAAAATCAAATCAAGAATCAACCCAGATCTCGATCCATCCCAACAACAACAATTACTCGATCTATTTGATCAATACCAAGACATTTTCAGTGCTCATAAACACGATCTTGGTTTCGTTCCCTCATCAATATGTCCCGTTAAAATTGAACTCGAGGATCAAGTTATCCCATATCAAAAACCCTACAATTGCAACATTCATCGTCGTGGTGTTTTTAAAGAAATTATCAACGACATGATCCAACACGATTTGATAGAATCATCGGACGCTCTTGGTGGTGCTCCCTCTCTCTTAGTCCCTCGCTCAGATGGATCTTACCGAATGGTAACAGATTACCGTTTATTAAATCGTCTCACGAAAATTCCGAGACATCCCATGCCACGAATCGACGATTGTTTGGAAGTCGTTCGAGGTGGAAAATTTTTTAACCTTTTCGATTTAGCCCAAGGCTATCACCAAATCGAATTGCCTCCCTCTGAAAGAGAGAAAACCGCTTTTGTCACCCCGGATGGCAAATACCAGTACAAAAGACTCCCCATGGGACTTGCTGGTGCTCCATTTATTTTCCAGAGATTTATGAATAAAGTTCTGGAAGGACTTCAATACACTAAGTGTATCGGTTATTTTGATGACATCCCTGTAGTTGGAACTACTTTTGATGATTTAATTGCTAATACTCGCCTAGTAATGGATCGTCTTCGTCATTATAATTTAAAGGTAAAACCAGAAAATGCCATTTTGGTCAAACCGAAATTTTATTATTAGGACATTTGGTTTCGGTGAAGGAATCCGTCCGACCTAAAAAGGTTCAAGCCAATTAATCTTCGCTATC